TTCTTGATTTTTGTGTAGCTCCAGCTGTTGGACCAGTCCTCACATCAGTCTGCTTCAACGGCAAACTTCTCACCCTTTGAGCTCAAAAACACAACATGGCAGAGGAATGAATGGTTTTGAACAGGCAAATGCCATCTAAGTTGAGTGGAACCATGCCACCATCATGCTGCCAGTGACAAAATGAGTCACGCACTAATACATGAAGAGTCAGCTAAATGGTAACCATGGAGTTTGAAGAAACCTGAGGGCTGAAAGTGGCGTGACATTATTGGTTACTGCTGATTAGAATTGATAACGGGAGTTTTCATACATTCATATTACCACCTATTTTGATACCTACCTTCACTTCTTTAGAAGTATATAAAAAAACACTTAGACTAGCTCAGCACCCAGAATAGATGCCAAGTTCTGGAAGGATGGAATTATGAAGGTAGTGGAACAAAATGATGCACATGTTAGTTTTCTAAGCATAGCTTACATGTGGCATAAGGCCGAAATTATGAGGTACACAATGAGGATTGAATTCACTACTCTGCTCTAATTGCAAAATGGTACATAAGTAGTTGAATAAATCTATGTACAACTATCTAAACATTGTTTTACAGATTCAATTACAAATTCGATGGCCATTTGCTCCAACCTGATACAATAATAATGATTCATCTGTGTAACATCTTTTATTTCTGTATATTGTTACAATCAATCAATTTCAATATTATTGTTTTCTTATACTTAATTTCTACATTACACTTTATTAAAAATTGCATCTATGAAAAAACATATATATATATATATATATAAAATATATATATATATATATATATATATATATATATATATATATATATGTATGTATGTGTGGGTATGTATATATAAATATATATATGTACATAATTTTGGAACGTGCAGTGTCGCATTTTAAATATTTCAAGTGAGAACATTTTTTTTGAATACTCTAATATGTTAAATCCACAAATTTTTTTTTGTTGTGTTTTCAGTTAATGTGACATGGACAAATTGGTTCAATTATTAGAGTCTATGTCTTTGTAGTTTTTCCATAGTTTTTGTACTGTGTATTAATTTTTCATACATATACACTGCACATTCCAAAACTATGTAACTGTTAATAAACAACACATTCTTTAAAAATAAAATATCTTTCGGCCTACAATACATTTATTTTGTCTTAGAGTTACCTGAAATGAAAAGAATATTAAAGCCCGAGGATGAAAATGTGATAATATTCAAAGTACTAGCAGCACTGGAACATCAAATCCATCTTACAATTTTAAACATAAGCATCATGTCATTCAACAAATGGTTAGTAAGTTAATGCTTTATTAAATTTGTTAGTGAAGAGATTTCACCATTACATTAATTTTACTGATTAATTCTTTGTATGATTACCTCTTTATATATAAGTGAACATTGAAGTTAACACTCAGAGGCGATAGGCTGTTTCATGCTAGATGCAAGCGTCAGGCCAATGATTGCGTTTAGCATGAAACAGTTGTCGCCTTTGAGTGTTGACTTCAATGTTCACTTTTATATTTACATACACTCTATCTTATATTGAGCACTTTATCCCATAAATATACCACACTTTAAAACTATATTTCTGCATATATATATATATATATATATATATATATATATATATTATATATTATTATATATAACAGACAATGGATGTTTATCTTGTCTTATCATGAGGCATTCTAATGTTCAAATGTTTCCTTTAATTTCTTGTGAAAATAATGACAAAAATTGTCCACCATTTGAATATTTTGGTACTAAGCTTTTGGCTCATATGAGCCATCCTCATAGTGATTATACAGACATGAAACAAAGATATCCATCGTCAAAGATGATATTTTGACATAGAAGGTTACTATGTGACTATAAGAGTCCCAGAATAGCAGACGCTGATTGTAAGTTCAAGATGCGGTTCTATGACATTATACCATGCTATAGGCCGAGGTATTACAACAGAACCAATGTTTAGACGCTATCTTGTAAGGGGAAAACTGAAACTGCATATAAGGGAAAGTTCTTTCTGGAGGGACAAAAATCCCTAAACTGGTTGATTTGAATAAGTTGATGGATCCAGTGGTACGAGAAGAGATTCAAAAAGCTGTGGAAGACTCTCAGTTTGATGGTTCCAAGGAAGATCTTAAAAAGACCATATACAACATCAGTGTTGATGTCTTGGGTTTAAGAAAAAAGAAACATCAAGATTGGTTCGATGACAATAATCTTGAAATCAACCAGTTTTTAAAACCAAAAACAATCTTTATCAGATGTTGAGTGCATCTGACAGTGATCGTCAATCATTTTGCCAGCCCTTTAAGGCCTGTAGGTCCTCTCTTTAATATAGATTACACTAATTAAAGAATCAATGGTGGCATGATATTTCCAAACAAATTCAGAATGCCTACATTTGTAAAGAGTCCAAGGTAATGTATAACCTTATAAGAAAGGCGTTTGGGCCTCAGTCAACATCTGTAACTCCACTAAAAACTAAAGACAGAACCAATCTCCTTAAAGATTCAAAAAAACATATTACAACATACGACTGAACATTTCTCAGATTTGTTTAATAATCCTTCAGTTGTTGATTTGAAGATAATCAACGATCTGCCTCAGTCTGATGTTGTGCATGAAATGGCAATTTCACCAACATATGAGAAAACTAGGAAGGCGTTTTCAGAGGTCAATACTGGGGCGGCACCAGGACTGGATGGAATTCGTGTTGAGGTGCTCTTACATGGAAACGATAATGGCAAGAAGAATACACCATCTGATTTCAGATGTTTGGAATGGCACACATCCATCAGAATTGGATTGATGCCATTCTTGTGTCCCTGTATAAAGGTAAAGGTCAAAAGTCAGATTGATTGCCTCCAAAGTCACATCTGTTCTGAAGTGATACTAGAGAGTCAATGTAAGTAGGAGGCTTAATGGACATGATCTTCACAGCCTGACAACTGGTAGAAAAGTGCATTGAACACTGTGTCCCACTTTCCCAAGTTTTTGTTGACCTAACTAAGGTGTTTAACAGTGAATAGGAATGTCTTGTAGACAATTCTAAGAAAACTAGGTTGCCCACCTGATTTTTGTCAGGCCTCTTGAAGAGCTGCACAGCAACATGAAAGCTAGGATGAACTTCAGTGGTACTCTGTGTCAGCCAATTTCTGTTGAGAATGGTGTGAAGCAGGGTGATATACCTGCACCTACTTTATTTTCCATCTTTTTTTTTGCTGTGATGCTCACACATACTTTTAGAAACTGTAGCATTGGTGTTTATTTATGTTTCCAAACTACCAGGAAAATTTTTGTCCTGCATCAATTTAATGCTTCAACAAAGATGTCTCAGCAAGTTATTCGTGAGCTTCTTTATGCTGATGATGCTGACATTGAGGCTCATACCGAAGAAGATATGCAAAACATCATGAATCTTTTTGCTAACACATGTAAGTCTTTTGGACTTACTATCAGTTTGAGGAAGACCAAGGTAATCTTCACACCACCTCCTGGTCAACTGCATCGGGAACCAAAAATACTTGTGGACAGCAGGAGGCTAGAAGTGGTAGATATCTTTGTATACCTTGAAAGCACCCTCTTACGAGATGGGACATTAGATGCTGAAATACTTCACCACATCAAGAAAGCTACTAAATCTTTTGCATGCTTGGAAAAGTGGGTGTGGTCTGATAGTAACATCATGCTTAACATCAAAGTAAGGGTTTATGAGTCATGTGTTTTGACTGCCCTTTTGTACTCTTCAGAAACATGGACAACATATGGACATCATATTACACCCCACCCCCCGAAAGAGAACACCAAAATAGCAGTCTTTTGTACCTGACACAGAAATTCTGGAGAAAGCTAATATCTCCAGTATTGAGAAGCTAATCATCCTCAATCAAATGCGCTGGGCACATGGATGACTCAAGGTTGCCTAAATGTGTCTTTTATGGTGAACTATCTGTGGGCAAGCATCCCAGATACAAACCTAGAAAGCACATTAAAGATTGCATCAAAACCAATCTCAAAGCTCTTGGGATATCAGTTGGTGCCTGGTGGTTGAATGTCGACCTTCGTGGAAAACAACAGTTCATCAAGATTGTAACCCGTTTGAAGAAGCAAGGTGGACCATGATAAGGTTAAGTGCAATCTTCGTAAATGTGTTCTTGAAGCATTATCTTTCACCCTAACCTTACAACATATATGTAGTTTATGTGGTAATTTTGCTCTTTCAAAGGTAGATCTTCAAAGTCACCTTAGGTCTCATTAGGCTCGATGCACTGAAAGAAACCAGAAATCAATCCTTGTGCCTTCTTTTACACTGTGCCATAAAATACACAAGTCAGCTACTGGATTAACAAGGTACATGAAAATTCATGTTGAGGAGTGACTATTGTCTGAATATATAAACATATAGATAAGTTTCTGTAAGCCTCTTGATGAAGTTCTTTGATCAGTTAAATTCATATTTTAGTGATAAAAAGTTTAATGTAATCAATACCTTTATATACTTGTAAAATTCCTATTGCTCTAACAGTGAGAATTTGAAAAAATCTAATAACAGTGAACAATTATTTAAAGACAACTGAAATTTTAAACTTTTGTTATTTTAATGAAAGTGGCCCAATTCAATAAGATTTAACTGTCAAATTATTAAATCTACCTTTACAAAATACACCCACATAAATCACTATTTTGTTTTTAACATTATCATGACTTCAGAGTAAGACGATTGTGAATAAATTCCTCTTTGAATATTCTTTGTACTTCTTGAAAACTAACTTGAATATTGTTTGCAATATTTTATTCAATATTTGATGTTTTTCTTTTACAGCAACTTTTATTTTCTTGCTGTTTTTGACAGATTCTTAGCACGACTGACAATTGTCGATTGAGACCGATCACTTCATTCATCAGAGGTTCTTTGACTGACACAAGTTGTTGACTGAAGTTATCATGTAGCACTTTTCCAATCAGTGAAGGTTGGTCTTGATCTTGTGGTGCCATTCTTCCAACGCAGCAGAATGGCCAACTGAGAAGCAACATACACAAAATATATTTGTTGTCAATGAAAATGTTACAGATGCGCTGAGAGCAATGAAGATATTTATCAGACACAGGATTTGTGGGTTCGGCCATCATTTTAGCTGAAGAAGAATGGAAATAAAAATAAAATTGGATAAGCAATTAAAAATGTGAAATACGTTAACTTACGTCAATGACTAAATCATAGAGAATTAGTGAGAAGAGGAAAAAAATGACTGAAAATTCATCCTAAAAATTGAAAAATTCTGTTATTTCAATCAGTGAATTATAAAGAGTTATAAGAAAGCTTAACCACAGTTAAATTAGTTGACACACATGGCATATCCGTTTTGGACAAATGCAGAAAAATATTCAAACTTCTCAGTTTAAACATTTTGCTAAAATTCAATCAATTTATGATGTACAGATATAAAATTAAGAAATATTCAGCTTTTGTGATTTCTTTTTCATTGGCATGCAATACAGGATTTATAAACAAATCAACAAATTATGAAGAGTTATAAGAAAGCTTAACCACAATTAAATTTTGACAAGAAATGAGAAAAAGTAAACCAAGAACAATGGGACATTGATGTCCAGAGGCTTCAACTTTCAATGCACATTCCTTACCACATTTTCTTTAATCTTGGTTGTTAAACATAAATTCATGAAATTATAGTAAAATGGAGATTACCCTCACAGAAGTTCTTGCTGATGACATTTCTTTCTAACTCTTTATTCCTGAAAATAAACTTATTTATTCTCCTCCCATGTTTTTAAAAATATATTAATTTACTGCAAGCTCTTTTATCCTGTTATTCTGTTATCTATTTTTGCTCTAGTTTCCACCAAGATGTTAATATTGGTGAAAAGCAGTGTTTTTACTTTGTATATCCATAAACTGGCTTTTGTTGAAAAGAAATAATAGACAAGCATTAATACTTGATGATTTACATTTTTGTTTTATAAGTCTCGGCAAATTAAAGTTTTGCAATAATGAGTAACAGAAAAGGCAAATTAAAATTAAATTTGGTCAAATTAAGGGAACCCAAAAATTTGACCAAAGAAAGTCATTCCCTTGAAAACCCTAATCCTTATATAAAAATACTTCTCTTGGAGAATGTATTCTTTATTGGCTGAAGATTCACTTGGAAATATTTTATAAAATTCTTCACTATTTTTGTAGAATTTTTCAGATACCAAACGAATTTGAAAATATTTTGTATTAAAAATAAAGAATTGATAAGCAACATTTAAGTTCAGATGTACATTAGCTTTTATCATGCATGTAGAAATAATGTTACCCAGCAAACAATCAGTGATGAAAACGAGATAAACTTGAAAAACAATGTAAATATTACATAACATTTCTTTATAAAAGCCTTTATTTACCTTCTTGATGTTTCATTTGCTCTTCAATAATTGAGAATAATTCTGTTTGTTCCAGTTGTTGAAGTAATTCATGAATAATACATTGATATTGACTAGTCACTTCACTTGGACAACAAGTGTCCACTTTCTGAGTTTGTAGAAGTTTGTGTTCAGCTTTTAGTTCCATGGTCAAAGATAAAAGTTTGTCAACTGCTTGGGATACAATTCTTTCCTGGCTGTCTTCAGCTGTTTCTTCTTGCAAATATGAAGACCATTTTTTCAAAAATGTCAATATTTCTGGCGGTGTAGAATAATGAAGACTCAAAGACCAATTTTTGGAAATGCTAAATAAAATAAGGGGACCTGAATTCTGTTTCTTCTTCAGAATAATGTAACCACGTGACAAACCTGAAAATAAATAATGACATTTTTTAAATTTACTTTCATTAAGAAACAAATGATTTCAGAAAACATTGATAATTTTAAATTTGGTAACAAATTCATCTTGATATAAAAACAATTCTAAGATTGTAAGTGTCATAAATGTGTGTATTGTGACATGGGAGAACAAACAAAACTGCTAGTGAGGTGAAAAGAAAAAAAAGGCATGAACTCTTAAGATAAAATTCTTTGTATTGCCTGATATAGAAGATCAAGGCAGAATGTATCTTCATGGATGAGGGAAGCAATTTGGAAGAAGGGCAAAATCAACAGGGATTGAAGTTGATATGTATGCCAGGTCTGTTGATTGAGGTTGACTGATTACCTGCTTATGTGTGACTCTGCTCCTGTGTTTTAAGCAATATCCTTAAAAGTAGATGTGGTGGAACATAACTTAGCATTTTTTGTCATGGCTTTTGATTTCACAACAACCTTGGTGACTGGCTCCTTTGATATTGTATTCTATACATTTTTGGAGGAGATTTTCTTTGTACTGTGACAGTGTTGGTAGTCAATTCTGTATTTCTGTTCTCTGCCTTGAATTTCATTTTGATATCAATGCTGGCTTCTTGAATACTGTTTTTGAGGCGGCCTGCAAAGTCTGTCAATTTATTACCATATTTGAAGGCCCCATGCTCAGATGAGGTGTTGAAAATTCCTCATTTGGCTGCCATGGGTAGATTTAAAGTAAGACTTTAGCTGTTCATATGTGGGAGTGTCCTCTTTTTAGTCTTCATTAAGGAGTTGTTTGGCAGTTTTGACAAATTAATCTTCCATTTGTGGGTAGTTGGTATATGACCCTTTTCGCCAGTCAATTCTAGATCAATTCCTATGCTGATCAATATTGGAGCTGGTGGTTTAATCGGCTATTCTAGTATGTTTCCTGCCTTGCCCCACATTGTGGTTTTTGTTCACAGAGCTGGCAAAGACTGAATTGTCATCAGCAATTTTAGCGCTGGTTCAAATCATGGTGAAGTTGTCACAAAGGAAAAAAAAAATGTTCTTTGCAGACAAAATAAAGAAAAGTACAGTAATATTAACCTTTCCCTCTTTAAATTCTATCATGACACTTTGCTCAATTTAGCTAAGCCTAGAAGAAGGCTTAAGTCAGGGGGTCTCTTTGACAGCAAGTCATGTGGGATTTAGCAGCTCCTTTGGCTGTCTGGTCTAATCTGCATCTCTGGTCATTAACTCTAGAATTGGCATTGGGCTGATTTGTTTCGGGGGCCCGGTGTTTCCCAACAAGAGTTCTTTGTTTTGCTTTGGAAAATTAATTATTTCTCTAAATTTGGGAGACTCCTTTTCCATGGGCAGAGTTCATAGCTATTGACCTGGCCCAATAACCCCTCCTTTCACTTATTTATGCCTCACACTATTACTTCCCAATGAGCATGTCCTCCTTGATATCTCATTTAAGCCTTTCATCTCAGTTGTCATTTTGAAAAATCTGATTTTTAAACCATGTAGTCATTTAGTCATTAATTGTGATTATTGTTTTAATTTTTGTCAGAAAATTTTTCCCAGCCTTGTCTTGTTCATAGAAACAGAAATTAACCAGCCGATTCCTCTGGCTGCTATCATCACATCTTGTTAACTCAACTGCACTTATGAACTGTGGGCTGAGACTTTACATAAAGAAATTCTATTTCTTGATATTTTTACAATTTCTACTTTTTGATACATGAAATAAATCAGTTTCTCAATTCTGCCTTGTCCTTAAAAATTACCAAGTGTTATCTTTTTAATTGACTTTCTTTTCTGGCTTGTCCCTAGGAAATGTTTACGTAACTTCTGCTTTAAGGCAGTGCCATCAATTGTCAGCCCAGCTTTTTCCAGATGCCCTCTGTAGTAATATCTTTCCTTCAAACAATACTTCTTCAAGTCATTTCTGCTTAAAAAATAAACTTTCAAAATTAAAAGCAATTTCGCTTTTTTCTCTCAGTTTATCTGTCATTTCATTCTTTAATCTTTTTCATCTTGTTCCAAGTTATATTTTAATTTTAACCCTTCTCTTTCAATTTGCCAGTGTTACATAGTGTCACAGTTAATTTCTGCTTTGACTTGGATCATATATACTTTGTTTAGATCCATATTGAAGTGATTGACATTATTGCCTGGTCCAAATTTTCTGTTATCTTGCATTGCATCATCTGCTGCATTAATAGTTTGTAGCCTGTGAGTTTGTGTACTGTGTCTGTGGTTCTAGTAGTGGCAGATTTTAGGGTGGCCAACATTTTTTGTAGGTGTGATTAAAATTTCTCAATGACAACTTTTGTCCCATAATTGTCAATGTGTAGAGTCAGTTTTAAGATTCAATATTGCTGTGAACTGTTGCTTAATGAGGTCAAGAATTTCTGGGTCGATGAGGCTAGTGTCATCCATTTTATTAGTTCTTCTACTTTATGCTGATGCTAGTTGTTATGTTCAGATTCAGTTTGGATAGGAGAACAAGCAAAAATACCAAAAGAAAGAGACAAGAATTGTTAAAATAAAATTCTTTGTATTGCCGATATAGAGGATCATAGTGAAACGTCACTTTGTGGGTGAGAGAAGGGGAGAGTTGGTACAGCTGAGAATTGATCTGTATGCTGGTTTGATTGGCCAAGGTCACTGGGTGGTGATGTTGATGTCTTGCCAGAGACACTGCTGAAGTGTATGAGTGGTGTCCTTAATAGCAGACAGAGTGGATCATGACTAAGAATTTTATGTTATGCCTTTTGATAAAGCAGCCATCTTTGTGATTGACTCCTTTCATATTGAATTATGTTATGGGGTTGAGGGGATTTGATTTGTGAGCAGAGGATGTCATGTTTGGTTTCCTTGCGTATTGAGTGTCTTTTTTTTATTTTCTTAGTGTTGCCATTCAGCTGATAGCTTTTGACATTGAGTAAATCAGAAAGAGGATAGCAAAGTTAAACTTCTTTTTTGTAACACATGAAGCCAAAAGGAGCTTTTGGAATTTGAAATGAGAAAATCATATGTGGGTTTGAAAGAACATTGAGATTTTGAAAATTTAAAAAATTTTGGGTCAAATCTAATTTTGATTTTCAGAATTTAAAATTTGTAGAAAACTGACCAGTAGATTTATCTTGGGCATTCATTGCTTTCAGTAAAAGTGAAACTTTAATCCAATGTGGAGGATATTTGAAACGAGCAGTGTCCATTATTAGAACCAGATCTTTCCCTGGGTGGAAGCCTGCAATGGGTGAAAAGTGCCCATCTCCAGTTTGTTTAAGGACTTTTCGAGAGTAAGTTGCAACAATAAATGCATCATCACGTTGTGTGTATTCATTTATGACCTGGCAAATAAACAAAAAAACATTTATAAAACAATTTTTTTTTACATGTTATGCTTAAATTCTTACAAAATATTCCTGTCCAATTGAACTGAATTTAAATAGTGAGAATTGTAAATGAACAAAGATGAATAATTGATGAAATTTAAGAAGCATTTGTACATATTTATGTTTTAAGATATGCAATTTTACATTATACATGAGCTCCAAACATTGACTACTCTTAAAAGTTATCTTAAAGATCAATGTAGGATTTTGTCAGACGCTTTTGGGAAAATCTTTCTTTTATAAAAACACAAAGCAACCTTATTCAATTAAAGTTTTTTCCTTAACCTTATGACACACTTCAGCCAAAATATGTTACAAAAGCATAATTCTTGTTTTGATTGTGTGAAATCTTCAAAGAACTTATTAATAATTTGAACATTTTAGAAGCAGTGATGAAACAAGTATCAAAATAATTGATTGTCTGAAGGTGACATGTCTAAAGTATATGTGGAAAAACTTTGTCTCATAAAATCAAAACTTTTGATATATTTACAACAATAAGGCAAGATATATCATAAAGTAAAATGACTACTTGACTTCTCGTTAGTAAAATATCTTTCTCTTTTAATGTGCTATTCAAACAAGCCAATTGCTTACCAGAGCTTTGGGAAAAACTATTTGTCTAGATTCCAGAAATTCATAATCGTGAATACATAAGAAAATAATACATAAAACAATACATAATACATAAAATATGTAAAAAAATATTTCTAGCTAACAATTTGTTCATGTTCCAGAAATTCATAATCTTGAATACATAAAAATATTCATTGATATCTCAACTGAACAGACCTCAGAATATTCTGTTTAGATGGAGATGTTGAAAACTGCTTTGGATCTAGATAATATTTTTCTTTCTCTACAATGTTATAAATCTGTTTCTTATTACCAATGACTATCTGATCTGAAATCAACTTTTTCTGTGTCAAACAGAAAGTCATGTATTTAAGCAGTAAAGGATTTTCATGTGGAACCTGTTTTCATAGACTCTGAATTTTTCCTTAAAGATTATAAATAATGTTCATCAATTAAACAATTACATAAATAATAAGGAGTTAAATAAACTTCAAAAACATTCATAACATGAACTAATATAAAATGCTTAGAACTTTTACATCATTCAAATAAATTCTTTAATTAATATTTATCCTGGGATAAATTTATTTACATTTGGACTATTGTCCTCATCTTTGTTGTTTTAATCTCAAAATTTCTAGCCTTCCTTGGGTGTACACTGATTTTGGTTACTTACAGGGAATTCTGAACTGAACCCTTTATTTATTCTATGCGGGTAGACTTCTCATTCCACAAGGCGTATCTAGGAGACATCATCTAGTTCTTATTTTTCGTACTGTCCACTTATTGCTCGCATGTTTCCACCAAGTTCAAGTACACACTGCCTGATACAAGGATTGAACTTGCAACTACTATGTCATCAAATTCATGAACCAATGCTTTGATCCACTAGGCCATTGTAGGACAATTTACTGTAGTAGACTTGGAGCCTTAAACCTAAGCTGCCTGTGAAAGGACAAATTTGTATTGCTTTGTACAGAGTCAAGTGAATAGCAAAAGATTTAAAGAAGGGAAGAAAAGTAAATGAGAAAAAATTGTTTTTTCACAGGTCGTAAAAATTAAGGACAATTTTCTTTTGAGATTATAAATTGGGAAGCAGACAAATTATCATTCAGAATGGTAAATAAAATTTTATCAAATTGTTTATAAAATTATATTGTAGAATTTTTCCAAGTCTTTGTCATAATAATAATTTTGGAAAAGATTTCTGTCAAGGGGAATAAGGAAAATACAAAATCTTTTGTGAGCAATTTTCAAAATGATTGTCTGGTTTTGATATTTCTGCTGCAGCCTTGACTTAAATATTTGAACTTTCACCCAAAAAGAAACAGCTAGTACTTATTGAATAAATCTTTCAAGATATTCAATCACTTCTATCACAAATCAGTCTTATTCCACAATAGAATTAAAACAAAATTTTATCTAAGAATGCAATTTCTAATATAATATTCTTATTCTTCTTGATAATAATAAACAAAAATCACTTTTAATATAAAAAGATAACAAGGAGCCTGAAAGATGAATTGCATTAAAATATTACATCAAGAAACAAATTTATGGAAATTAGAGGAGAAAATATTCCAGGGTTAAAATTATATCTTCAAGAAAGACACTTCTGAAACAGTAAGGAAGCTTAAAGTTTTCATTAAGTCTTGGTTGAAATCTTAATTTCCCAGCAACAATTTTAGGAGAATTTTAAAAGTAATAAGTAATGAAACATATTATTGAGTCTCAATAACACATAAAGCATTTTTAGAATTTTACTTAATCATTTATAATTCAGAAAAGAATTTGATAAATTAACCACAACATAAATAAATTTGTTAACAAAATATTTCTTTTAAAATGATATGCAACAATTTTTTTTTTCTGACAGTATCAATGACTTAAAATTTATTTCTATAAGAAATGTATTTTACTGAAGAAATGATGATAAAAAGTGAATGGTACCTGTCGGAAGGCATCACTTGAGTCTTGATTTGGACGATTACATGTAGTTAAAAGAGAATTGCATTCTGCGATGCAAGCAAATTGTTCAAGATTTATTCCTTCATTCTTTATGATATTCAAGGGAATGCAGCAGTCAAGCATGTTTTCGTGGTACCATCGCCATGGCCCTTTCCAAACGACTCCTGGATCAACGTCCAAAGCATTGAGAATCATCACCAAAGTGGACAGGCCGCAGTAAGCAGGCTCATCTTGAGTACGAAACTGGGCAGCCAATTTGAAGTAACAGTTCATATGACCAGTGGACAAAGCTTCAGAAAATATGGCCTTGCCTTCTTCTGAGTAGAATGAAATACATTCCTCTGGAAGGATGCGACGGAAAAACTCCATCTTTGGTTTTTCAGGATTCGACATGATTTGTGACCTATAGTAAGAAAGATTCAATTTCTCTTGACTTCTGTAGAATGTGTAAAATTCAAATCTTGAACTCCAAGATGATACAATTTGTCAGCCGATAACTATTTTGTTGCATTGATTTAATTATGTAAAATAATTCACTATTTAATATTTGGGAGATAATTTGGCAGAAACTTCTTTTTTTGAACCAACTAAGTTGGGTTTAATTGTGTTTCTTTGTTGAATGCATTCAAATTTTCTAGAAACTTAACTAAGATAATGAGTATAATGAGTTACATTATCAACAATAAAAGATAAACTAATGTCTCAGATACAGATAACATTTTGATTAAATACTCTTGTAGTGTGAAACTGTCTTCATGAGAATGTTTTTATGACTTGCATATGTGTAAATATCACTCTTATCTGAGTTTTTCTAATCTTTTAACTAAAATCTGTCAACCTTCAATAAATAGAAAGAATCAATTATATTAATAGAATGCCATCAGTTCTGGTATATATACAATTTTCTTACATTTGCATAAAAAAAATTATTAGTTTCATTATCAAACCAAAAATGGAAAAAAATTCTGTGGAGTAATTAACATTTTAATATGCATCATTACTGAAAAGTAATGACATTCATATTAAATTTTACATATTATGTATTAAAATAAGAGAGACAATTGGGAAAATAAAACCGTACAAGTTTATAAAAATTTTATTTATGAAGCAAAAGCCAAACTGAACTCAGAATATTTTAAAGTATAGTTTTTCCTAATATATACATACGTACAAAGATATTGTTTTTCGCTAAAGAGTTAAATAAAATTGACAATTTCATAACAAAGCTTATTTGTAAGTAAGTTCACATTATGATTTGCAGTTATTATTTCAGAATAATTGACAATTTTACAATATAAGAAAGGCCAAAATATCACATGATCAGTTTAAATAATACTTTTAATCTATTTTTTACATAAAAGTCAAAGAATTAAACAAAAAGTTTTTTGTGTTACATTTTTCAATAGGCTGGAAGATAGAAATTTTAAAAAGTTGAAATTAAATTCAAAATCAACTGAAAAGCATTATTTTATCAGAAACAGTGCAGCTAATTTTTTAAGGGATTTCCCAACAGGATAATATTTTTTTGTCTCCATGACTTTCAATCTGAAAAGCTGGTTGTCTTAAAAGTTTTATAATATTTTAAAAAGAATTTACACTCATTTTTTTTTCTTTAACGTTTTGCTGTTTTTGTCTATTTGTGATGAAAACTAAAAATTTTAAAAATGGGATTCCGAGTTCCTCAGATCAAGATACAAACTTTAGAGAGAACCCAGAATTATATTTAAGATGAAAAAAAAAAAAAAATTAAATTCATACATCTTGGTCATTTTCTTTTATCTTTCTAAAACTGAATAAAAATCAGTGATCTTCATTTGAACAAGGAAAAAAATAGTTGGTTTTCAGAGGAAAAACTAACTAATTTTGTCCCAAGTTCAACATTGATTTTTATAAACATGGTAGTTTCATTTTATTCTGGAATTTCTTTAATTTTTTTTTTTAAATGAACATTGCTAAAATGATGAAATTAAACTCGTACCCCCATAATATGGGGTTGGGCAACTAGTGAATAACTTTTTTTTTTTTTAAATCATTCGACAATTTTAATTTTCATCAAAGGGGGAATACTTGCACGAAAGGATTTTGAAATGTAGTTTAAGTTTAGTTTACTTAGTTAAAAAAGAAAATCTAGAAAAAGAAACATTTTTCAGTGTTTTTTTTTTTTAAATATATATATATATATTATATATATATATATATATATCTCCGGGTTTGGTCTATTTTGTTTATATATATATATATATTATTAGTTATCCCACATGTATTGTCGTTTATTAAAGAGTGATATTTTACCGAATATGGAAAATATCTCCACCTCCATTATTTTTTTACTTTTTTAAGGGGATTTCAATTTTGTACTTTAAGATGACATTATTAATTAAAAATAAATTTAATTTTACTTCCCCGGGGAAGCATAGATAGGGGGGAATGTTATTTGATCTTAAAATTTAACGTTTTCTTCTTCACACTCAGCTTCTATATCGTGGTTCAAGTAGGTTATTTAGTATTCATTTCTGTTTGTGTCAGCCGTGAAGTTTAACTAAGTAGGGTTGGGTCATAATAAATACGTGAACCTAAGTAACGCTTCGGCTTGTTGAAAGTTAAGTTGACTTTTTACAATTTTTACATCTGTATCAAAAACTAACTTTTCAGTGTTCAACTTTGCTGTCTTTGCAACATTATTTCTGTAAATTATCGAAATTTAATTACCACTTAATAAAATAAAAACCCGGTTAAAAGTATTTTTCCGAAAATATTTAAAAAAAAAAAATGAAGGAAACAAATAACCGATAACGTATATATATTTTTTCTATGGATTGACAAAAACGGCTACTATTGTATTCTCTTATTTTTAATTTTAAATTACTTTTTAAAACGAAGAATTTCTCTTAATACATAAGGACTTAAAATTCTAATAATCATTCATTCTGAAATAAAAGAAAGCTCAGTTAATATTCGAAAAAGTAAAAAAAAAAACTCATCCTACCTTCGTCCAATATTTTAAAGAACTTACAGAGAAAGGATTAATGTTTTTGTGGTCATCCATAAAATGAAAGTGGCTATACGTACCTAAAAACACTGTTCAGTATTTTAAATTCGTTAAACGTTAAACAAACTACAAAAGTAAAAGTTAAAAAAAAAACCCTCCCATTCCTAGCAGTTAAAGCATAATCTTCTTGGATGGTTAAATTATTACTAATTATTCTGTCAAAAACTATTATAAAAACACGTACTCTACTTTGATTATTGTGTTTATAACTGATTTTTTTATAACAAAAAACAAAAACGAAATACAATTAAGCAAGCAAAAGTTGTTTTTTTTTTAACTCTGTTTTCAAATACAAAAACAGAAAAATGGAAATTTTCAGAATCAAGTGAATAGTTTTTTTTCATAAAATAAATGAAATATAAACAGAAACTTACTTAACTGATAGTCAACAACACTAAATTTTCTTATTCTTTCTTTCTTTCTTTCTTTACTTACCGATCCAAATAAATTGTTGTCGTCGTCACTAGAAAGAAATTTACAAAAAGCCAATTAAAAATTTAAAAAAGGAGCAATTTTTTTCAATAATAAAAAAAAAGGGTCCTTTTTCTTTATGTGCGTGCGTGTCAATATTGTAAAGAACATTAACAACAACAAAAGAAACTGCCGGAATTACGAAGCGGAATTCGTTGATGACCTTTCACCGTTTTGTTTCCGATTTTTTTATACAACTTTATGGTAATTATTTCTGAAAATTATTTCTAAAATTTATTTCTGAAAATTGGAAAGATTGTTTTTATTTACGCTTTTTTGTCATTTCTAAATCCGAAGATCGATCGACGAAATTATTCATTTTTGTCTTGCAGTTGAACTGTAAAGCTGAAGCACCTGTTTATTTTTTTTGTGTTTTTTTTGTAATTTTGTCTTTTCTTGTGACAAGAAATATTTTTTTAATTTTGCAAATTAAATCTTTATAAAAAGAGCTATATGTTTCTTAACTGATGAAAAAAGAAAAAAAAAGGAAAGAAAAAAAGATGAATAATTGCTTAAAAAATAATAACCAGGAATCAATCCTTTCCCGGGTTCCCCCAACCTAAAACAAGGGAAAATATAAAAAGATCGAGTAAAAACTGTGAGCTCGAATTGGTTTATGAAATTTGAGAAGGTAATCTCTGTTGTCGTTTTTATACACAGTTTTTAGCCGCGTCAACACACACAGAAGTTTTCCGCTTGACCAACTACAAAATCTTACCAAACGACCCAAATATTTGCAGGGCTTTTTAGTCGGGTCGAGAACTTGTTAGGATCCGTTTCTACTCAGACTTTTATTTTTGTCTTTACCTAAGTGTCGGAACTGCTGCTTCTGGTTGTAACCGTTGGCTGGCTGATCGGCTGCTGCTGGAACAGATACTTACACTCATCCTCTTCACCCGGACCGAGTAGGCCATCGGTATTTAATTTACAAAAGGCTCCTCTCTGAGTTTTGGATATGACACGAGATCAGTTATTTAACATGGCGAACCCGATTGCGTACACTCGGACCGCTGGTCAAAATTTACTCAGTAGCCGCTTACGCGGGATCGGGTACAAAGTTTCTTAGCTAGTCATTGCCGCGGAAAAGATAAAGTTTCTGGGGTTTTGAGGCTACTTCGAGTTGCGAATGAACAGTCGTAAAGTAACTTTTTACGATAATGCATCTGAATATCACACAAACAAGAGTAGGAAAAAAATAGTATATACTTCGGGTTACCGTTGAACCATATCTCAGAAAAACGGCCCACAGAATTACTATTCTCGTTTATACTGTTTAAAATCACACCGAAGACTTCTGTTGAAGTAAAACACAAAATAAAAAGTCGTCTTCCGTGCAGGGGCACCGAACATCACATTCGACCCACAAAGCAAATCCCAGCAAAAATCTAAAAATGCAATAGCCAATCACAAACAATATTGTGGAATCTCCCACAACATAACCAGCCTTACCTCTTTGTAGGAAATGCACTCTTCCTATCTGGTAAGCCAAATTCTACTTTCAGACAATATAACAAGTATTCATTGGTCAATCAACTCCAATCTGGCTTGCGGATTGGTCAGTTCCGACCAATCAAACCGCCTGGACGCGACCAATCTGTTTTCCCGCTCATATGCTGGGAGCCACTCAGCCATTATAAAAAACCGAACACGTGTGAACCTTTCGAGTGTTAATTACCAAGTTTCAAGATGTAACCTTCACCGACTCCCGTCTTAGTCATTGCTGACCAAACGTTAAAGACAATTACCAACTTTAGACAGTCAGGCCTCCACACCTAGAGAGATGCCCATCAACTCCACGCCAGTCTAAACTCTGACTTGGCCGCGTAAAAATATTCTCTTACTCAGCAACCTTCGCACACACTCTATCTCTCTCAAGAACATTTCTCAAACTTCACTTACTATACTTTCAAGGTAATATTTCTCACTACATAACAAGTAACCAGTAACTAACAATTTATTCTCAAGCAGATAAAGGTACGCAACTCTTGAACAACTTTGAATATTTGTATAAATTGTATATAAATTGATGTTATTGTTATGCATTCAACTTTTGTCTTGTTTTCAACTTTATTTGCATGATTTGTTCCAAGTATTTGTTCTAAATAATTGTTGTGGACGAATGTTGTAGAACACGACCTTGAAATTCCTTCTGATCAATTTAAACACAATCTCCAGTCCGCAACAATATGACAATTTTTCCCGCCCAAAATTCAATACCTCTGGGAGCATGTATCTTTTGAACCAAAGATATAAAAACGGTACTACTCGCCGACGACAGGAAGTTCGGCTTCAACACTTTGGCCTCGTCACACGACCGCCAGATCATCTAGCACATAAGCATAGACCTCTCTCCAGACACCAACTGTGACTTCGGCCACTCAACCCGAGAAATCGGTCAACTCACGGCCCTACCGACTACACCCTTAGACCAAATTCCATTCCTTGTCAATGGCAACTAAGGAACCACATATGAACAGTTTTTGCCATCTTTCACACAACTATATAGATAATCTGAATTTTGAGCAATATACGTTGTTGAAATCTTAATATTTGTTTGTTCCTTTTGTGCAAACCAAATTCTCCTTATAACATTAATAAAAAAAATTGACGAATAATGAATTTTTACAAGAATTGTTAGCATTTAAAAAAAATTAATTAGATTAATTCATAGTTTCAAATCTTTTGAATTTCTGCATTACTTTGACACTTTTAAGTGATATTGTTATTAAGTATAATGTATATTTGCTTATAATAAATCCAAAAATTTAGTACACATCACCAATTATTAATAATATCATTCTTGTTGGTAGACTTTCTGTAAACCTCCAACTGAATGTCATTATTAGTTCTATGTAGAATAATATCTAGGAACGGTAAAGTGTTTGTTGTTAAACCCAAATTCAAAGGTAAAATATATTGTGGGTTCGATGTTATTAATGTTATAACGAGCGTTTGGTTGAGGAGGAAAGGAACAAACAAGGATTAAATTTTCAACAGCGTGTATTCATCAAAATTCGGAATATATACATGTTTTAAATTTGTCAAAACTTGTTAATGTGTGGTTCTTCAGTTGCTGTTGGTAAGGAAAGAGATTAAGTGCAAGGATGCTATCGATAGGGCCGGAAGTTGATCGATATCTTGGGTTGGTTAATCAATGTCATGGTTGGCGTCAGAGGATAGGTTTGAAGCGGATTAATAAAGTGTAGTGTCGTTGGTGGGGTTTGGCGTACACCCATCTTCATGGCTGAAGTTGACAACTATGAGGTGTTTGATGGGTTGCGTGTGTGTGTGTGTGGGGGGGTGATGCAGCGTATAGTGAGGGTTGATCAAGCGGGATGGTTTCTATTGGATTTTGGTTGACTGTGGTATAAATGGTACGGAATCACGGTGGTGACGACGAGAGAGTCCGGGAGCTTAAAGTGAACGTTGATTGAGCGGAATATTTCTGTTGGATTCAGGCTGACTGTGGCATAATATATATATATACATATGATAAAAGGCAGAATGTGTGTTCGTTTATATGTTTGATCGGACCTCCTACATTTTTCAACGAATTTCAACCAAATTTGACACAGTTACTGCTAATGGTCCTGCGGAGGTTTTGACGGCACCAAAATTGATTCAAGTCGATATTTAAATCAATATTATCGACTTTTCATTTTTGATCGGACGCACGTGAGTGTAATTATGTGCTTTCACTGCACACAAGCAGATATGAGCACTTTCCATGTCAGAATTAATAGCGGTAGCATAATTAGAAAAAAGTCGGATTTAAGTGCTTATATTGAAATAAGAAAGGACAAGAATGGCCATATTTTGGTTTCGGATGCAAAAGTTCTGTTATCACAATGAAGGATTTCTGTCGCAGCCGAACTTTGCGCTCCAAAAGCCAATCGGATTAGTGTTATTAGTCACGCGTGGCTCGCGTGATGCGTAATGCTTGCTGCTGATTGGCCCATTCATGCTCCGGGGTCATGTGAGATTATGTTCGAACGGGGGGTGGGTCATGCGTGCGCGCACGAAGCATCCCATATGGGGTAGAGTTTTTAGGTAACCTACTTTTATTTCAGGGTTTAATGCTCATACCATGGCTTTTAAAAAGGATCTTTTAATGCTTCAATGCATGCATGCATTACTTTCCATGTTTTCTGCATTTGCACAGTAAAGTAAACGTCAAGGCCATTTTAAAAGGGATTTACAGAGCTACATGTTAAATTTTACCAGAAAAATCAGTAAAAACTAGGTGAAACTGCTTCTTTTTAGGTGTTTGTTGCCCATTTAGCCTACTAAAGCATAGGATTGAATTCAGTGAGCAATCACTAACACATTTCATGCCACTTCACGCAACCACTTTTAAGCCAAGTGGACAATCGGCTCCCTCCAATTGTCCAATTTTTCACATTTGATTGCATTTTTTCATTCGAGGTGACACCGGGGGACTGTTATGTCTTTTCATACCGTTTACGTGTTTCAAAAGGCACCTACTCACTATAATTTTACTACTGCGCATCGCTGCCCCCCAGAATTCTCTCACGTTTTCATCTAAATTCGTGCTACTTAAATGCCTTCATCATCCATCAGTAAACGAAATTAACGTTGCTTCAAACTTTGTTCGTATGAAGTGTGAACACGCTTGTATTTTCAACTTTTGATCCACAAAACTACCTCATATCTCCTGGCTGCTCAAAATTTTCAAAGAAAAATGAAGCTTGAAAATCCCATTTTCTGATTGACTGACTGAGAGACTGCACTACATCGGTGATGACATAAATCAAAAAAGCAATGCCTATTTTGGGATAAGGGACTACATAGCTTTCATATTTATCAGTAAAGAACCCGATACAATAAAGTTGCCAGATACTATTTTGAAACGTCATTCACCACTGTGAACTGCGTTGACTACCTGGAGGTTAACCAATCTCGTCAACTGTTCAAGGTTGCTGCGAGCTCATTGGCACGGTTGCAAGTGTTTAACCTTGGGCCCATCCAATCATACACGCGAGCAGTTCTCTTACGCACGCGTGTGCACGTGCGTACGTACGTACGTCACCTTAGTATGTGCGCTCAAGGTCAACCGGCCAACCGCCTCTTTATACCATAACTCGCACGCGTGTTCACACTTTTGCGATTACCGACCCGCATTTGGCTCACTTCATTCGATTTTTACGGAAACCGCAAGTTGTTGATTACGTATCCAAACTGTTTTTTTTTTTGCTTCTTAGTTATAACTACATCCGTTTCCGCGTTTATCGAATTTACTTCTCAAATTACCTACTACCGTTT